GGGGGGGAAGAACTTCCGGCTAAGGACTTCGGCCTTCTCTACGTATATAGTTATTAGGTTATCGCTATCGTCTTAGTATAGTAGTAGCACCGATAAGGGGTTTAGTAGGGCTCCCCCTTTAGTTTATACCTATTTCTATAGCTGCTAAAGGAGGTTATCGTTCTTCCCGGTTAAGTAGAGTAGGTGCTATTAGTATAGCCGCTTCGCTACCGCTATAGCCCTATCTTAGCACCTCTCTACTTCCTAGAACATATCCTATCGGTTCCGGGACTTCCTAGACGTATATCTGCGGTAGAGGCGCCTTATTTCCTGGGTAAGGGCGGTAAGCTCCGCGTTCTACTAAGGGGTAGGTAGGCGTTTAGGGGTACCCCCGTAGCGGCGCGGTACGGCCTTATCGGCTAAGGTTATAAGGTCTTTTATTAGGTTATTTAGTACTAAGTCGATATCTCCCGGTATTATAAAGGGGCCGGTTTACTATAGTTACGTGGCGGCGAGCTAGGGGACCTAGGAGGGGTTAAAGTCTTTCTAGACCTAGCGGGGCCCGACTAGGTCCCGCGGTAGTATTATTGCGGTAATCGGCGTAATATCCGTCTTTATAAAGATTCGGGCTATCTATAAGTAGTAGTCTAACCCGATAACGGTCTTATTAGAGCCGCTAAAGTTATAGCGGAGCCCTTATATTACCTATGTAAGCTTAATAGTACTAGTATACCGGCCCGGGCAGTACTATATAGTTATTCTAGGGGAGGTTACTAGGTCTAGGTTCTACCGGGTTATAAGGGTAAATAGGGTATCGACCTAAGGGCAATACCGCGGTGGCTATAACTATAAGGGGTAGTATAGGTTAAAATCTCTTATAAGAATATATCGGTCCTGTAACGGTACTATATCGAATATATCTTATAGGGGTATATTCTAGGGGATCCTGGCTAACTAATAGTTCTCTAAGCAGATCGACTAGATTATAAGAGTATTATCTCCAGTCCCGAATATAACCGTGTAGGTATTATAGTAGGCCCGCTACGTCTATATATATAGCGGGTATCTTTTATATATATATAGGAGGGCATAACCTCCTCCCTATATTAGCCGGTATACCCCCTAAAAAGGGTAGGTAAGGCTTTTCGTGAAGGGGTTAAGGCCGGGTTCCTGGATTACTATTATATTATACTCGGCGTAGTACCGAAGCGGGAGCTCCCGCCGCGCCTAACTCCTCTCTATATTCCACGAAAGGATACAGATTCTTATTAGTTAGTAGGGGGGGGGGTTAAGGTAGCGTGCCCGGTATAACCAGGGTTTAGTCCTGGCTTTATAGCTCCTATTACGGTGTCTTACTAGCCCCACGGGGGACTATATAGGCGCTTATTAGGCTTAATAATAGGGAGCCCTCCTATCCTTTAGTCTTTTTCGGGGGGCGTCTCCGGCTCCTATAAAGGGGCCGGTCTTAGTCCTAGGCGATAATAATTGGGGGGAAGATCTATAGTTACCGTGGGTATACCGCTTCGGTCTAACGGGTAATATTAAAGTCTTTAGCTCGGTACTTATACGCTTTATAAGTCTTTTTAGCCTTATTCTTTAGTAATCGGTATAAGTCGTTAAAGGTATCGTAGTCTCCGGTATAGGCGGTATAATAGCGGGAGCGGCCGGGCGCTATAGCATTATAGTATCCTAGCCCTTATAGGTACGCTGATTTAGGCTTAGCATAATAGCGGTATACCCTCTTTACTATAAGGTAGCTATTAGCCTTATAGCTAAAGTATAGGCACTTATAGTACCTTAGGGGGCTAAGGTTAGGATTATATAGTTTATAGATATAGCTACCCCTTTCGAAAAGGAGGGTATTCCGGATAAGGCTCCCCTTCCGGTAAAGCCGATTCGATAAGGAGGAGTATTACCCTATTAGTACCGCGGCGGGGTACTTATTATTATACTCGGAGGATTTTAGCCTAGGGGTTTATATCTTATAGGGATATTAGTAGGTCCTTCTTAGATAAGGCGTTAAGGACTTCCCGGGAGATAGCCTTAGTAAGCGCGGGGTAGGTTTATACGGCTAGGGTAACTCCTTTACTAAAAGCCTGTTTAACCTATTATTCCTTATAGGTAGTCTACTACTATACCTCTTCGGTAAAGGTAAAGTAGATATCTCTGCTAAATGGCTTCTATACCGCTACCGCGTTATATCGGGTAGTTATAGCGTTTATAACTTAAATAATTTCCTTTAGGGTCCTAGCTCTAAGGGGCTAGTTTTCGGGGAGGGTTCCTTAACGGATAATTAGTTCCCGGTAATACCTAGCAGGGATTACTTTAAAGGGGGCGGGGTCCTACGGCGGCGCCGCCACGGGTACTTAGGCTATAATATTAGCCTAAGTCTTTTTTATACCGCTTATTCCTTTATAGAGTTCCTTACGGATAATATAGCGGACGGATATATATAGGTATACTAGCGGTAGTATACCGGCGTTATTACGGGTACTACGTATCGTGATTAGGTCCTTTACTAGCTCTATAACCTAATTAATCGTGTTCCTGTTAGCTAATACGGCCTAAATTTCTGCCTTAATCTTAGCTACTCTTAGTTCCGGGGGGCGTAGTAGTCCCCTTTTAGTCTTATATCGGTTCTGCGCTATATCCTGCCTTAGGAGGGGGGGGGAGCGCTTATATTACGAAAAGTGGGTCTATTACGAATTCTGTATAATCGAGGTCGGGGGGACGCTATCCCACGACTCTTCCGGCTATACCGTAGCGCCGGTATTATAGTAACGCTATAATAGCATCCCGGGAGAGAGGCGGTAGTTATAATCTCTATCCCGGTAGTTTTATTAATTTTACTCTTATTACGCGCCTATAGTTAATAGGCGTGTCGAAATCGTTAATAACCGTGTATCCTATTATACTACTTCATATTAGTATAACGATAATTTCTACAGTAGTACTACTAGTTATAGGCCTTATAATGCTTACCGCGCTAAAGGACTAGGGCCCTTAGATTAAAGCTATAATAACTATTACGCACTCCTATACTCTCGCCGACCTTATTAATTCTAATCTTAAAGAGGCTAAACGGCCTACACGCCGTATATAAACCGACCTAGTATAGCAGCCTACTACCAGCGAAAAATACAATATCTTTAATCAGAATATACTATTTAAGATTTAGTAGGTGAAAGAGGATTATTTTAGAGCCGAGTAAAGGGGCCTTTACGCCCTCTACGATTATATAGCTAAAACTGTTAGCCCTATATTAAAGGATTAGTATGCTAGTAAAAAGGAAGTAAGGGATATATTATAAGAGAGCCGTTATTCCGACTATAGTAACCGGTTATTCCGACTATAGTAACCGGTTATTCCGACTATAGTAACCGGTTATTCCGACTATACTTTGGTTATAGACCTATATTTATAACTAATTAGAAGCTAGGGTTTAGTTTACTACCTACTACTTTCCTATCGCTCTAGGCCTATTATTAACTTTACTTCGTAGTATTACAATTGTCGTGTATTAATCTATTTATTAACGCTATAATAGCGCTTCTACTGCCTATCTTATTTGCCCTAGGCTACAAATATTTTAATAATCTTTTAGTATCTATAAAGAACTATATAAAGGAATACGGCTATGCTATTATAATCTGTCGATTTTCTAATAAGGATAACGCCCGGAAGCTCTCCGAATAGAAACTAGAGGAATAATAGGCGGCGGCTTGGTAAGAGGAGGTGGCGGCGAGGTTTGCCCTAAAATAATACTAATAATACTAATAATACTAATAATACTAATAATACTAATATTACTAATAATACTAATAATACTAATAATACTAATAATACTAATAATACTAATAATAATAATAATTATTATTATTATTATTATTATTATTATTATATTAGTCTTACTCTGCTATCCTATCTAATCTATAAGAGCCTATTTAGGCTATACGGTCCTTTTTAAGTAGCTATAAAGTGGAAAATCCGGGGAAACCCGGGGAAAACCTCTATACTCTTCCTTAGATAGAGTAATACCATTACGGGGCTAATATAGCGCCGATTTATCTCTATTATATATATAGATTATACCTCTCTAGGCTAATAGCTAATCGGAAGAGTAATAGGCTAGAGTTTAGGTTAGCCTAGGCTAATCGCGAGTAAGGGAGTAGGGACTAAAGGGGTGCCGCGGCGCTTCTATAATACGGCGGTCGTAGTACCCTAAACTCGGTCTCCCTATATTCCCGGGAATTATTCTGATTATCTCTTCTACTTAATTAATAAAGAGAATAGGCAAGGTAGGCTCTCCTACCTCCTTTATAAGTAGGTGCCTGCTATATCCGGCGGTAGGTAGATAGGGTAAGGCTTCGCCTATAACCGTAAAATAGTAGATAATTAATAAAGTATCTAATCCTTTTTGTTTTTCCTCTTTCCTTTCTATAACGCTACTAAAGCTTATTATAGGTTTTCTATATATTATATTCCTGTTTACGATCCCGTAGGCTTACTATCACGGCGTTATACTAACTAGTAGCGTCTCCTAGTTCTCTGCTTCTATTTACTATATATAATTCTAGTATATAGTTCGTGGGTGGCGTTATAGCAGCGCGGGGCTAACTAGGTAGTATAATAGCATTAATTAATATAAGTAATAATAGCAAGGTCTATACGATAGTAAGTGCCAAACGAACAAAATAAGTGGGTCGTGGTACGGGTACCGGCTCGGGTAGGATAGCTTTTAATGGGTAGTAAGATAGGTAAAAGGGATAAATCGTCGCTTAGTAAGTAAGACTCTTAATTATTAGATATAGCGTAACCGTAGAATAATATCGAAAATAGTAGTAGTGCAGTTAATCCGTTGATTTAAGTAAGACTTCTAAATCTGTAGATCTGTGTGTCTAACTCCAAAACTCTCCGACCGTTATGGAACTCCTGCCACCGTAATTTCTATGGTGAAAATTCTGCAGGTGTCTATCCCGATTTTGGAGGATCCTCTGCTATGGCACCCAATGCCCGTTACGTAATAACCGTCAAGCTTACGGCCTGTTCAACACACTCTGTATATCTCCTGTTCAGAGGAGACTTTGCAAGCCACAACCTGGCCATATCCTAGATCGACTGCACAATTTCCGCAGATTCTGCATTATGGCGACCATAGGAGGAGACGTGACGCTCTTCGAAGAGACTTTCACCGTGACCAATTACGATCAATCGAAATATGATCGTGTGGCGCGCATCTCCGCGACATCGGCCGATAATCAAACCATTATGACCCTTGATATCAACATTGAGCTCTTCCAGTGCGCCGTATCGGACAATCTGCACGTGGTGCTTGTGACTTCGCTTGCACACGATGGGAGCAAGGATGACGAGAAAGGTTGGCGTGACATTTCCAAAGGCCGCAGTGCCGGGAGTGAAGCGACACTGGCCGATATGTTCGACTACGTATGCCATGGCAAGATCTACAAATTTGAGGATGCGGACGATGGGCAGATCATGTAAGTGTTCCCCATTGGATCCTTAGAATGCATGAGATCTGACGACTCTCCCCCAGCAAGGCATATATCTCGTTCGGCGGCCTTCTGATGTCTCTCGAAGGCCCATACAAGAAACTGACCCCTCTGCGAGTCGACTACACGTACTTGCTCGTCAAGAAATGAACCGAGAGTTTAGAAACATCAAATCTTCCGGTCAGAGGGCGGCCCAGTCCTCTTCTTGGGAACCTCAGTTGCGTTTCACAGATTCACGCAAGTCCAGACTGTAGTCGCTTGCCCGCCTGTCGAGGAACGGAGAATGACTCATGCTTGTGTGGTCCTGGAAACGGAAGCTTGCGATGGATGCGCCGCATGATTTCGTCGAAACTCGGCTCGATATCTCTCGTAATGATGCCATGGCGGATGAAAAAGTCAACGACGACCAATGCACAGTTGGGCTTAAACTGCCCTTTGCTGAGTTGTTGCTGGACTTCCTCCACGGTGCATAGGTTGAACTCGGCCACTTCTCCATCCTTTGGCCTGGGCAAGACGTGTTCGGGCAGCTCAAGATCGTATACCCATTGGACCTCAGGATAGATGAGACCAGCCTCCCCGGCTTCCTCCTGGGTGACATAAATATACGTAACGCCTTCCACTGCCTTGATTCGCTCTCGAGTGAAGCTTTCGGCCAAATCGGCCTCTTCTTCTGCCTCCCGGACAATGCATTCAAACGGATCCTCGCCAGACATCAGTCCTCCAGCAGCAATGTTATCCAGCATGCCGGGAAACGTCGACTTTGTCGGGGACCGTCTAGCTACCCACAATTTTATCCCAAAGCTGGAATTGTCGCAGCGTACAAAGCCGTTTAAATGCACACCGTATCTCACCACGCCAAAAAGGCCCGTGGCGCTCCTTTCAAGGTTGAAGAGAAGTTCGCCCTTCGTGCCGTAAACAGGCCAAAGTTCGTCTCTCCAGCCTCGTAGGATTGGGAATGCATCTTGACTTCTCCAATACTGAGCAAGCCGAGCAGCCAATGCGCTCCGCGCCTCCTCGTTGCTACCCATGAACACAGAGACTGTCCTCTCAACAGGATCAACCCGAATCTCTCCCCTGATGCTGGCGGGCGTCTTGATCAAGATGTCGAGGACCTTCGATGGGACAAAACCGACTGGCACTTGTCTGCCTGTTTCTCCGTCGAATACAAATGTGTAGAAACATCTTCGTACGCGAGTGACTGTCTCTACATCCAACTCGTATGGAAATCTTAGCCTTAGGGTGAGTAAAATATCCGTCAGGTATGTGTGAGGCTGCGCAATACAGTGTAGGACTCACGAGTCGATTTGGTTGATAAGATTGAGTGGCCTAAGGGGCGACATTTTCCCCCGCTTGAGAGTGATAATGCTTGATTGTCGAGACCGACACCTCATCGCTCTGGGGAATCTTGAACAATATCCCGGGCGAATAGTTGGGCAAAACACCATGAAGTCCGTGGCTATCAGGATTATGACATATATGCCGACGGATGGCTCGAGCACTGCCCGCGGGATGTCATGCTCGTTTCGGGTTCCATCAGGAGCGGGTTGAATACATCCTTGTAACTGTGTTGTCGCATGGGCACGGGACCACTGTCGCACAGACCTCCTCCTCGGGGTGGAACAACCGAACGGCCGATTACGTGTTCAGGCACCGAACAGGATATCCGTAGGATTTCGGGCATTAATTCTGCCTCCTATAACCAGACCTTTATAACACGTTTTTACAACGGTTTTACGGCTTCAATACAATTAATTTAGAACGTCTTAATCTAATTATTCTTATCGTATTTACTCTATTACGGTTACGCTGTATTGGATAACTAAGAGTCTTAGCTTTATTTATCCCTATTTTCTACCTTTTAAGAGCCTTCTAGCTAGGCTGCTATAGCGAGATATAACCGAATTACCGAATCTTTCCTAAAACTGGAGAAAGCTAACCTACGATTAATTTTATAGTTCTATAAGATTCTCGAGGCTAATACTATATAATATTATACCTATAGCTACTAGACCTTTTGGTAATAGCGTAACGACACGATGGCTACGGCCTATAACGTCCAGAACAAACTAACCTTAACGATAATCCTCTTCTATAAACCGGCCTTAGAGCTCTAACCTAATTTCGATAACTCTATAACCCTTACTTTAATAACCGCGCCGCTTACCGCGCTAGATCTAATAGCTACCAGAACAGCTACGTATAATATCAACGATACTACCCTTTTTCTAACCACTATACCGCCTACTACGCTAGATCTAATAACTACCGGAATAGCCGTATATAATAACTATAATATACTAAACTATAATACCCTTAACTACTTTAACGGTTTACCTGCTTCCTATAGCGGATCTAACCACTATTTAAATAGACCTCTATAGCAGATCTAATAGTAGATCTAACGGCTACCAGAATAAGGATACCTCTATAGCAGATCTAACGGTTACCGGAACGGTCACTATATATATACTAAAGACAAGTCACGACCTTAAAAGAAGACTAGTATATATTCCCTGAGTAGCCTATTCTAGAGTGGGCTTAAGGAATCCCCTCGAGTCTGCAGGTCGAACAGGTACTTATCCAGACCCGAAGCTAATAACCGCAAGACTGCTTTAGAGGAGACATTTTAATAACTACCTTAATAACTATTATAACGCGTATCTATAGTAAGAGCTGCCGCCTGCCCTTTAGGGCTGGCACGTGATAAACTACGTGGTCGCCAGAAGCATAGTATTACTAATCTAACTACAACAACTATAAGTAAAGGAATCTATCCTATAAGCTAAGTTATTACTACGAATAACATATTTATACTATATGCCTTTTAACGGTACTAACCACTCTGCGATTATAGCCGTAGAACGGTTAGATATCCCCTTAATAGTATATACAGCTCCGGTATACGCCGGCGATAAGCTTTAACCTCGTAGAAAAAGTAACCCGGTAGCTATATACAGCTTCTGTCTATACTAGCAAGAGCTAATACCCTTAAGGCAGTTAATTATACCACTTCTTCTAATTTTATAATTATAACCAGTAAATTATACTAATCCTTCCGACTTTATAATTATAACCAGACTGGTTTAACGGCTTACGATATAACCGCGAGGTCCGTACGCGTAATAATCTGCTCTTTAACGAAGGAAACTCCTTTAATAGTGATATCGCTATCTTAAAGGACGACCTATTACTATTATTATTATTATTATTATTATTCTTCTTCTTCTTCTTCTTCTTCTTCTTCTTCTTCTTCTTCTTCTTCTTCTTACTCCGCTATCCTATCTAGTCTATAAGAGTCTAATTTAGACTATACAGCCCTTCTTACGTAGCTATAAAGGGGAAAACCCGCGGTTCCGGGAAAACCTCTATACTTATCCTTAGTTAGAGTAATACTACTACGGGAACGATATAGCCCCGGTTCGTCTCTTCTACGTATCTAGGCTATACCTCTAGGCTAATAGCTAATATAAAGGGTAGTAGGCTATAGTTCGGGTTAGCCTAGGCCGGCCCTTAGCAAGGGGGTAGGGGCTATAAGGGTGCCCCGACGTCTCCGCTATATAGTAGCCGCGGCACTCTATATTCGGCCTCCCTATATCCCGGGGGGCTATTCCTATTATTCCTTCTATTTAATTAATACAGAATAAAAGGTAAGGCAGGCGTTCCTGCCTCCTTTAGGGGTAGGTGCCTTCTATATCCGGTAGTAGATAGGAAAGGCAGGGCCCCGCCTATATCTATACAGATAATTAATAAATAATAAAGACCTTTTTCCTTTTTCTCTTTTCTTCCTATAATGCCTTAGAGCTTATTATAGGGTTTCCTCGTACTATGTTTCTATTTATAGCCTCTTAGGCCTGCCGCCGCGGCGTTATACTAACTAATAAGGTTTTTTAATTCTTTATTTCTCATTTCCCCCTATTTTCTTAATTAGTACGTGGTTTATAGTTCGTGGGTAGCGCTATAGTAATATAGGGTTAACTAAGTAATGCCGTAGCAGAAGCTATAATAAAAATAATAATAATAATAATAATAAGTTTATAGTCTTAAGATATAAGTGTCTTAGTAGCGTAGTAGTGCCTTAGTAGTAACATTAGTATTATTCTTACTCCGCTATCCTATCTAATCTATCTATAGGAGCCTAGTTTAGACTATACGGTCCTTCTCGGGTGGCTATAAAGGGAAAAACCTAGGATCCCCAGGGAAAACCTCGATACTTATCCTTAGTTAGAGTAATACCGTTACCGGGCCGATATAGCCCCGGTTCGCCCCGTCTATATATCTGGATCGTACCTTTAGGCTAGTGGCTGATAGGAAGGGTAGTAGGCTATATTTCGGGTTAGCCTAGGCCGGTTATTAGTAAGGGGGCGGGGGCTAAAAGGGTACCGCGGCGTCTTCGCCGTGTACCGGCTACGGTACGCTATCTCCGGCCTCTTTATATCCCCGGGGACTAAGCCTATTATTCCTTCTATTTAATTAATAAAGAAAAGGTAGGGCAGGCGTTGCTGTCTCCCTTAAGGAGGGGGGGTATGCCTACTATATCTAGTAATAGGCAGGGAGGGTAGGGCTCAGCTATACCCGTAAAGAATAGTAGATAGTTAATAAAGGGTATAGTCCTCCTCTTTTCCTCTTTTCCTTCCTATAACGCTATAAAGCTTATTATAGGTATTCCTTATTACGTTCCCGCCTACGGTCTTATAGGCCTACTATCACGGCGTCGTACTAACTAATAATCACTCCTAGTCCTCTATTTTTAATTCTTAATCACCTTACTCAGACAACGATCAATCACACGCCTATTAACCACGGGCGCGTAATAAGAGCAAAATCGATAAAACTATCGGGACAGAGACTATAACTACCACCTCCTTCCCGGGATACTATCGTAGCGGCACCGTAATACCGGCGCTACGGTGTAGCCGGAAGAGCCGTGGGATAGCGTCGCCCCGACCTTAACTATACAGAATTCGTAACGGACCTACTTTTCGTAGTATAAGCGCTTCCCCCCCCCCTCCGCCTATAGCAGGATATAGCGCGGAACCGATATAAGACCGAAAAGGGACTATCACGCCCCCCGGAACCGAGAGTAACTAAGATTAAGGCAGAAATTCAGGCCCTACTAGCTAACGGGAACACGATTAACTAGGTCGTAAAGCTAGTAAAGGAACTAATCACGATATGTAGCACCCGTAAGGACGCCAGTACGATACCGCTAGCGTACCTATACGCTACTATTTATCACGTTATCCGAGAGGAACTCCGAAAAGGGATAAACGGCACGAAAAAGACCTAAGCTAATATCGTAGCCCGGGCTCCTGTAGCGGTACTACCACGGGACCCTATACCCCCTAAAATAATCCCCGCTAAGTATTACCGGGAACTAATTATCCGCTAAGGAACCCTCCCCGAAGACTAGCCCCTTAAGGATAGGACCCTAAAGGAGATTATCTAAGCTATAAACGCCACGACTACCCGATATAATACCGTAGCGGTATAAAAGCTACTAAGTGGAGATATCTACCTTACCTTTACTAAAAGGGTATAATAGTAGGCCACCTATAAGGAATAATAGATTAAGAAGGCCTTTAGTAAAGGAGCTACCCTAGCCGTACGCACCTACCCCGCGCTAGCTAAGGCTATCCCCTAGGAGGTCCTTAACGCCCTATCCGAAGAAGACCTGCTAGTATCCCTACGGGATATAAACCCTAAGGTAAAAATTATCCGAGTATAATAGCGGGTACCCCGCCGTGGTATTAGTAAGGTAGCGCTCCTCCTTATCAAATCGGCTTCGCCGGAAAGGGTAATAAGCCTTATCCGGAATACCCTCCTCTTTAAGAGGGGTAGCTATATCTATAAACTACATAACCCTGACCTTAGGCCCCTAAGGTGCTATAAATACCTATACTTTAGTTACCGAGCGAACGGCTACCCTATAACGGAGAGAGTATACCGCTATTACGCTAAGCCCGAATCGGCGTACCCCTAAGGCCTAGGATATTATAAAGCTATAGCGCTAGGGCGCCCTTACCGCTACGCCGCCTATACCGGAGACTATAATACCTTTAACGATTTATACCGATTACTAAAAAAGGAGGCCGAGAAGACCCGCGAAGCGTATAAGTACTAAGCTAGGGACTATAATATTACCCGCTAGATCGAAGCGGTATACCCGCGGTAACCGTAGATCTCTCCCCCGATTATTATCGCCTAGGACTAGGACCGACCCCTCCGTAGAGGCAGGGGTCGGCCCCCGAAAAGGACTAGGGGATAAGAGGGCTCCCTGATACTAGACCCGATAAGCGCCTATATAGTCCCCCGTAGGGCCGATAAGGCACTGTAGTAGGAACCCTAGAGCTAGACCCCGGTTGTACCGGGTACGTTATCTTAACCCCCCCCCCCCTTTAATTAATAGAAATCTACGTTCTTTCGTAGAATATAGGGAGGAGTTAGGCGCG